AAAAAAAAAAAAAAAAAAAAAAAAAAAAAACAATTCATTACACATGGCTGCATTGATGAAAAGGAAAAAAAACATCTTAACCTGGTTGCAGACCATATCATGATATCATACTCAGCATAGACGGCCGAGAGGAACTCATGAAGATCTGTGTAAATGATAAAAGAATAATTAGACATCAAGATATACAATAATAGAGCTTCATTGAAATTCAACACGTACAAGGACGCATTAGTTCCCGAGGATGTTCAGCTGGAGAGCGGTGGTCAAAGAGGGTATAATCAATGTCCAAAACAAGCAGCTTTTTGCCTTTACGACAGGGATTTCGGATTTTAATCTGGCACACATGCCAACAAACATAAGGATCAGTTTGGGATGAAAAATAAACAAACCCACTTAATTGCAATTTGCAAGGAACAAAACCAACAATCTCTAACTGTCGTTACCTCTACAAACATTCATGATATGAAGAGACTAAATTACACTCAATTGGACTCCCTGAGAACTAGTAAGATAGAAAACAGCTAACCTTATACAGGTCAATACGTCTTCTCAATTTTTTTTGGTAGATTTCATTATCCTTAATGTCAATGAATTCAGCTTGCTCGAGCTCCAGATCATCAATGATTTCTGGGGATTCCACTGGGTCCAAAATTAAATCATCTTCAACTGTACTGCAAACCCAGTGAAATGTCAATTATATGCTTCAAGCTGATACTAGTAAATTAGCTGTTCTAAGAGGTTTGCGAACAAATAATACAATTGCGTTGCAATGAACAAACTGGAAACAAACATAATCTAAAACATATAAACACGTTTATTTCATGATTTTATAAGGAGAAGCAGATATGCTGAAATACTGTGATACAACTCTAAACAGATCTACAGGTAACCACATGTCAACAGCAAATTGTGTAGATGTGATTCACAGATCAAAAGTAACATCTGTATCGAACATTTAAGAAAACAGCTGCTAGTTCTAGGTGATTACAAAGATCATAATATTGCTACAAGCATCATACCCAACCCAACAAGGCCTATGACCAGTTTCATCACACACAAATCATTGAAATGTTATGAAGCTCACTTTACGCACAATGATTGGTAACTTGGTATTCTTTTTTTTTTTTTTTTTTTCAGTATCACTCTAATGTTATGTGGTTGAAGAAACGATCAATATATACATAAATAACACAACATATCCAAATATCAGAAATTCTTAGGTTGTTCCCCAAGTGAATAGCTTAATTCTACCCTATATATTTGTTCCCGAGTATTAACCAGGATCATAGGCATTTTGCACCACAGAAATTAGGATTGACACTTTATCAGTTGTAACCACCTTGATACTCCAAAGGAAATTTCAACAGAAATTTGACTATGGCCACAAGATGAGGCCTCCTTTCTTTCCCTCTCTTTTGTAACAAAAAACCAGTGTCCCATAAATCGACCCATCAGTATAGAAAATTTTTTATCCTCGAAGTCTGCAGTTCTACATATCTAACCAATCTTCTATCAATCCTTCAAGAAAAAAACTTCACTTATCCCCTGCAACCAATCTGCCTCAATTTCAAACCACTGCTTCAGCATCAAGCACGCTATTAGTGAACGAGATATTCTCAACCGCACTAATCTAATTCCCTTTAGAAAGAAGAGCAGTGTTTCAAATTACATTTTCAGTTCAATCTGTGATCTGAGGGAATTCAAGTCACATATTGCAAGCTGTGGCCTCGCATACTCCAACACAAATTCTCAGATCATCCCGTCGCTATTTAGGTAGTATTTCTTCTTCGAAAATTTGACAATAGAGTTTTAAACAACAATGTTTCTAAATTTCCCATGTGATTGAAAAAGTGCAGATTGTGACAACTCTTACACAACGAGCAATTCAGCGAACTTAAGCCAATATACCTATGTTCGAGATCATGGAATTTCGATATCCAGTCAGAACAACAATTAAAAAAAAAATAACATTTAATTCTTTGCATTTCTACTAACAATGAATCAAACAATGTTCCCTCATAAACAACAAACAATTCACATATCCAAATATACCCAATCAAATGTTCTGCTAAAAAAAATGTAAACTTTATCAAATATATAACTATTAATTCTCTGAACTTCTAATCAACCACGAATTAAACATTACTCCCATATAGACACAAAATGCTTCGCAAACAAAATACCCAATCATGGTCATCTTGAGAGAGGCTCTGAGTGGAATCTGAGAGAGAAAAAGAGAATCGTCGGCGAGCTTGGAGGCCAATTTAGGGTACAGAAGCTTCTGGCGTTTTGGGAGCACATTTGTGACCTCGCAAATTCGAAGCTTGAGTTCCCCAACAGTGTCCTGGCCGCACACCCTGACGGTGTACTCTTTCCCGTTCCACTTCACCGTCAGCGTCAGCTCCTCATCCGTCAACGGGGAAACTACCAAAGCCGCGGCGGCCGACGACGACGACGTTCCACTTTCCATCTGGAGATGAGCGCTGAAATTAGACGGCCAAATGAATTTACTGCTGTTGCAACGCTATCAGCCACACCAGCCCGGTGCTACTAATAATTAAGCAAATTTATATATTTCTCGAATTTTACTTGATAAAATTTTATTCTGTGTTCCAAAAACAAAACTAATCTGGTACCCGAGCTAGTTTTATTAAGATAAGTATTTAGATTTGGATGATTGAAAGAAAATAGAACGCATGTATTGAAATTATTAAATATATCCTTGCACACTTTGTTTGATCTTTTGGTACATTATTTATGCCATAAATTATATTAGGATTCTAGACAGACTTAAATAAATCAATTAAATTAATTAACAGAATATATATGATATGATTTATATTGATTTTATGAAGATTGCATAACCAAATATAACGGAGATTGTAAAACGTCTTTCTTCATACTCAATAATTGTAAATTACTTAATTTAAGGAAGAGAAAAAATGTGTAAGTGGATGAATCAATTTCAAATTTGATCTAGAGGATTAAACAAAACCCAAACTTTTAGGATGTTCCAATCCGATTTTATTTTGAACTTCAAATTAATATTATCTGACTCTCAAAAAATCCAATTTTCAAATTTTGAAATTAGGCCAGTTTTATATGCAATCCGACTTTTTTAATAAACATGATATGTTGCAATTAGGTAAAGATACATGTTATAATATTTTTCCTAATTTGAATTCTCGATCTTATGATAAACATATATTTTTAATAAAAAAATGAGAGAATTTTGACTTTTACGAATTGTCATGTCGAATTTTTACTTAAATTAACCTGCTTTCTATGCAATCTGATTTTTTTAATAAATAATTGATCTGATGTAATTCGAAAAATATATATGTAATAGTATTTTGTCTAATTCGAAAGAATTTTAACTTTTGCAAAAATTTTAAGCATTAGTGGAAATTTACCTAAATTAAATCCACAAAACCCATGAATTTATGGTGCATATATAGCTGATTTTTTGGGAATAATTTAAAAAAAAATTCCAAACGGTCAAAAATAGAATGCAATAAATGCTGGTTGACTTTTTTGTTACTATTTTTGGTAAATAGGTTATATATATATATATATATATATAGGGGGAGGATCCAATGAGTCCACTCCTTAAAATGAGTCAACTCCTTAAAATATATATTAATTAGATAATAAAATAATTATTAGTTGACTCCGGCATTGACCGTTGACTTCCGGTGGAAAATCGTTGACTTTCGACGTTGACCGTTGACTTCCGGCGTTGCCCGTTGACTTTCGGGGTTGACCCGTTGACCCCTAGTATGCATTATATGTATGAAGTAAATATGCATCATGTACCATGCATTCAATATGAACTAAATATGCATGAGATATGAATTGCACATGCAGTCCTTATGAACTAAATATGCACCAATAATATCTACTAAGTATGCACCTCTTATTAACTAAATATGCATCCGTTATGAACTAAATATGCATCATGAATGAACTAAATATGCAGCAAAAAATATGCAATAAAAATGTACATTTTATATAGGTAATTTATGATGCATATTTAGTTAATTTATTATGAATATTTAGGTAATTTATGATGCATATTTAGTTAATACGAAATACATACTTGTTATATTTAAATTAAATATATAATGATGTTTATATAGTTAATATATGATGCATATTTAGTTAATTCATGATACATATTTAGTTCTTATGAAATGCATATTTAGTTAATGAACAGTGCATACCTATTTTATTTGAAATCCAATCATAACAATTTATTTGTGTTATTAAACAATTTAAAATTAAAATTAATTATATAATAAATATCATTAATTATTATATTTAATTTAATTGTATAAAATATATATTTTATTGCATATTTTTCGCTGCATATTTAGTTCATTCATGATGCATATTTAGGTAGTAAAATGTGTACATTTAGTACATAAACAGTGCGTATATAGTTGATATTATTGGTGCATATTTAGTTGATAAGA